TAATAAAATATATCTGATTCACGCAAAGAACCTTGTCTGCCTATGTCCTTAGACCAACACGGCTACAACCTACACCAATGTATCAACACACTTTCTGTGACACGAAAGACAAGATAAAGCCCCAAACTATATTTTGCCAAATGTTGTAAAGACAAAAAGTTAATTATTCAACACACATTTGATTACAGCCTTTAGGACACTAATCTAATACTTGTAAGACAGTAAGAGAAATGCTCCAAAAGCTAGGTCAAACAAGGGAATACATCTCTTTTTACTAGGCCGTTCAGGTCCATACATATGAACAGTTCAACAAAACATCATACTGTTGTTCAAAAAGCAGAGGTTTTTGATCCTCAGTTTGCTGAAAGGACATGAAGCTTAAAGAGACAGTTTAAAGAGACTTCTTACGTACGTTATCACCATCTTTGTTTATCAGAACAAAGAACTGGAGAGTTTATTTGTGCTGCCTGCTTATGACATTTCTATCAATTCTCCTTTTGTTTTTGTCACCTTAAAAGTTCTTCACCACCAGGCAACACCCCAAAGCATGGGTGCATCTGCTTTCATGTTTTTGTATTTCCAAACTTAACCTTTAGTTCCCAGAAATAAACATTTTGCCAAAGATAGCAGGAAAAAACATTCAGTCTCCTTTGACTGCCAACAATGACTTACCAGGCCAATGCATTTTTTTAATATACTCCACACACTAAAATCACTTCTAGAAAACATTGGGGCAGGCAATGAAGCTCTGTAGGGAGGAAAAAACAAAACAACGCAAAAACATAAGGATAGTTATCATACCCAAGCCAAGGTTATTTTTTGTTCGACTAAAATCCTATTCATCATCAATTTTGAAAACGACAAAGGTTTCTCAGGCATTTCACACAGACTACTTCAATGCAACCAGAGCCTCAACCTATAGGGGAGCTGCTTAGGGGTATGGACTTTCTACTGCCTATTATTCCTGTGCATTCTTGGCCAATACCCATGGACAAAGGGGCCATCTTCCAGCATCATGATGAACCGTGACAGAGCATCTGGGGGGAGTTGTACAACTAACAGGTTCCCTAGAAAAGATATGGTCTAGTCAGGGAGGATTCTGCTTTGGGCTGGACTAGGTGATTTCATACGATCCCTTCCAGCCCTATTTTCCTATGATCTCAGCCAAAGCAACTACACTGGATAGCAGGTACACTGTACTCTGTTTAAGTGCATTGCCTCAGGATTGAAAAAAGGCTAAGAACTTACTTGGAATATACACTTGTGTAACCTTCATGTACACAACACTTACTCAGTACACCACACTCAGTGTTCTGGGACGAGCAGCTCTGAGACCGACTAGCACCCAACGTTTTGAAGGTACTTAGTCAGCCAGTGTCAGGCCCCCCATTAGGGACCTTGAAAACTATGGCAGCAGAAGCGCTAAAACTGATAGCTCCCATTATTTTCCAGGCTTCTAATAGCAGCGGTTTCAGAGCTGCTCCCCTTTTGCCATTCTGCAGTTAACTGGAGTACACTTGTATTGAAAGTAGACAGGGGAGACAAAAAGACACTTGCACTTAACCAATTTATGCACTTAACTGATAAGCAGATTACCAATGTTTATTATTTTATAAACCCACGTCAGCCCCAACAGTCAGTATACAGTTCTGCATTTATCCAGCATGCACAAAAGAGGACTACACTGCATGGTATAGAAGGCTTTCCAGCACACCTGTGTTCCTTAATTCCATTCTCTTGATGCTGAGCCTCTCCATTAGGTTTCCCAGTCCTACTGCTTTGGTGTGGATCCCGGTCAATCATTTCTGCAACTTTATGATTTGCTTCTGAAAAGTCCCCCGAAGAATTGTCAGAATCAAAGCCTGCATAAAATAAATAGAAGTGAGGAACATTCCCTAGGGCTCCAGAGAGTCTGCTTACATGTTAAACCTGTTAACAACAAAGCAGAATTGGGTGCACCATAACAATGGCATGGTTGCAACACACTGATTCACTTGGAAATATCACTGACTGCAAACTTTTTGGTAGATGACTTAGTCTAAGAACAAACAGCACCAAATATCATATTAATACTAAGGATAATCAATTTTGCATGCAATAAATCACAGAAAAATGGAGTTGGAAGGGACCTCAGGAGGCCATCTAGTTCAACCCCTTGTTCCAAGTCGGACCATCCCCAACTAGATCATCCCTGCCAAGGCTTTGTCTAGGAGGGCCTTAAAAACCTCCAAGGAGAGTCGACAACCTCCCTGGGTAGCCTGTTTCAGAGCTTTACTACCATCCTAGTAAGAAAGTTTTTCTGATATCTAACCTACATTTCCCTTGCTGCAATTTGATGTCACTGCTCAATGTTCTGTCATTTGCTGAGAACAGTCCAGCTCCATCCTCTTTGCAGCCACCCTGCAGGTAGTTGAAGGCTGCTATTAAATATCCTCTCAGTCTTGTCTTCTCCAGACCAAATAAGCCCATTTCCCTCAGCCTCTCCTCACATGTGCCCCAGCCCCCCACCATTTTTGTTGCCCTCCACTGGCCTCTCTCCAATTTGTCCACATCCTTTCTGTAGTGGGGGGGCCCAAACTGGACACAGGATGCCAGATGTGGCCTCACCAGTGCCAACTAAAGGGGAAGAATCACTTTCCGCAATCTGCTTGCAACTCTCCTACTAAGGCTGTTAGCCTTCTTCGTAACAAGGGCACACTGTAGGATCATATTCAGCTGAACTGTTCAACAGCTCCTATTTCAATTAGGTACATCTACTCCCTTATTTCAGAGCTGTGCTTTAACTGTAATTACAATTTTTTTTCCAGTTACATGATTTTGACATAAGATCTTCAAAAATGTAGTTGTCCTATTTACAATTCTGGTTTTACTAAGAGACCATGAGAAAAAAAATGAATTGTAGAGTCAGACTCAACCAGCACATATGCAGGTTATTAGAACCAATTTTAAAAAAAATGAAAACTGAACAACAGTAAAAGAAATAAGCCTCCACTGCATAATGGAAGTGAGTTTAGAGGAGAGGACTGGGAGCAAGGACTTGAATCATCCTCCTATCTCTACCATGGACTGGCTCATGACCTTGACAAGTTAGTTCACCTTCCTGGCCCTGGTTTATCCACCTGTAAAATAGGCATTCACCCCACTTAAGAAGATTGTTTGAATTTATAACTTTGGAGTCCTCCAGTCCAAAAATGATATACAAGTGCAAACTACTGCAGTAAGGTCACTGACAAGGCCACATCAGGGTTTCAGTCCAACAATTCATTTAGGACAGACTACTTCTTTGTTTAGAATCATGGGCCAATTGCTAACGTGTACAACTTTTGCATATGCAGGTGTAAAAAGAGTGATTTGTGCAACTAAACTGTATTTGTATGACAAGGTTCTTTGGGAAAATGTGATATCTTTTATTAAACCGATTAAATAGTTGGCAAAATTGTTCTTTGCATTTGTATGTGCATGCCAAGAACCACTGGCTTTTCTGTATTTAAACTTTATTATTTCCATGCACATATTGCATAAGCGACTGTATATGTAAAAAGTATGCTCAAAAAGCTGGATTTAAAATCCTTTGAAAGTTAAGATCCTTGAACTGCAAGATCTACATGCAGGCACTGGATGCACGTCTTGCCAAATTTTAGCAGCAATGCCTGCAGCGCAGCTACTCTTCTAGCAAGTACCATTTTGTTGGTAAGCCCTGTAAGCAACAACCCTGACCAGGAAAGGCAGTGGACCAGACTCCTTCTATAACTGAAGAATACCACTTCCTTGACAGCACCAGTACCTGCTCCCAAAAGGGCACAGCCTCATCTTATACCAACATGTGCAGCTCAGGATTTAGTCCAAGGGGTCTAAGAACACAGAAGTGACCCCAGGAGAATTAATTCAGGGGAAAGCCAATATAAGCTCTAAGAAAAGCTCCAGATGCATACAAGTAATACTTCTCTAGCACCATTTTCCCCTGGATACCCGTGTATTCAGATGACACTCGTTACAGCAGCAACAGCTGCTTAAGAGCAAAACAACTCCAGGGCATGGACACACACAAACAGGCATTGACTACAGAGAAATCTGTACTCTAGCATCATTCTGAGTGACAAGACTTGAGGAAGAACAGTACAACTCTACATTTCACTGGGCCTGCTAAATGCATTGCTGGGCTTGTCAAGGTGGTAACTGGGAGACTGGAAGAAACAGGTGCTGCAATAATGGGAGGAGAAGGAGAAAGAAAAGTAAGCAGGAAGCTGATCTCTTTTACAAGGGGCAGGGAAATGAAGGAACCTTAAGTTGGCACTGATGTATCCATCTACTGGAAAGTAAGAGCACACAAAGTGAAACTCCCAGACCCCTTTGGGAGCCACCTCTATCAAAAGCACTAGAAAAGAACGACTTGGCATATCTAGGCCTTCAGCTTCTACAAATCACTATTAGATAGTTAGAACCATCAAATACTTCAGTATAAAGAGAACCTCCCTCATCCCAAATGCTTTCAAAATAAAGCCATTCCCTGTTCACTGGAAAACCAAGGCTGCTTAACTGGCCAAACTCCAGTCTCTACTTGGGACGCGCAGCATAAAAACAAATGAAGACTAGGCCCCAAACAGTCCCTTTTCTCCATCCGCTGATCCTAGCGACCTTGGGGAATGAACCTGCCTGGGGTTCAGAGACTGAAGCCAGCAAAAGCAGCTGCAGAAGCAGCCGGAGCAGGCACTGAGAGACCCCCAAGGATGTCAGCCTGCTGGCTGCAGTTTTCACCCTGGATGCTCTCTCCCCTATGCCAACTGGCTGCTCATTCCCATCTCGGCTGATGTGACGCCCTCCCCCTCCCACACCCAGCTCTTCCTTCCCCTCCGTTTTTAATGATTCTTCTCCTAACCTTCTCCCACCCAATGGATTTAACCACCAGCCCTGGCTCCTGCATACAGCTGGTAAATACCCACATGTTCTGTTCCTGTCAGAGGCACTCTCACCTAAAACAGGTTATAAACTCTCTGGGGCAGGTGTTTGTACAGCACCTAGGACAAGGAACTATTCTCTCCTGGTACCTTGGTACCATAATGCACATTCACAGTATCGCTTTAAGATCAACCCATTGTTTTAGATAAGTATGGATGAGCCTTATGAAATACAGAGAACAAGTTTCACATCAGGCCACAAAAAAAACAGTCTTGCACAATTTTACTCCAACAATTCTGAAGGTCTGAAGCCTGTTCAGACTCTCTCTCTAAAATATGCAATCATAAATCCCAAAGAGAGAGAGAGACCTAAACCCTCCACAAAGCCAAAAACAGCTGGCTTTCAGCCCTACGAACAAGATACACTGCATGATATCTAGGATGTGGTAGAGGAAAAATAAAAATTGCTCTGATGCTGCATGTTTTGTGAGATGACCTTCATTCTAGCTGTCCACCTAAATGTATATCCCGAAGGACATGAGGGAGGGCAGAGGAGACAAAGGAACCTGTAGCTGACAACAGCAATGGGCGTCCTCTGCCTGCACTTCCACCCGAACTGTCAGATGATACTGTTTAGCTGTCGTAGGCATGACAAACACACGTGCAACACCTGTAGAAAGCACGTGATGGCTGGATGGTGAAACCTGAAAGGAGGGGTTATGCCATGTTCTGGACTGTAACAACACTGGAACTGGTTTGGTCTGTCTACATTACAAATCAAATTGCTTAAAAACAGAAGTTACCAGTAAAAGCAATAAGTCTCTTCCCTTATCAGGTTCATTTTCTCCATATCAACAAAGGACTGTGGCATGTCCAAATTCTGATTTAGCATCTGGACAGTATAAATCCCCTGCATATACACATTTGCTTTCTGAAAGTCCTCTGGGCCAGGGCACACAGGCAAAGCTAAATAAAATACTGCACAGTTGTTTAAAAGAACATACATTGTAACATGCTGAAATCATTTTCACTGAAGCAATCTAAGTACCATTTGCTTGCCAACTGCAATCACTCTTAACGTCTCAGGAGTCTTAATACTTAAAAATACAACAGATACTATTGTTGTACTATTACCATAAATGCTATACTTCTTTCTCCCATTAAATATTTTCGTTCTACCAATGTACTGCTTTTAAAGAAACCCAAAACGAACTTATATTTCTACTAGGAAAGATGGACTGAAGATCATCAATGCAGCCATCTTAGAAGCTGAAGGAAGCACTGGTGTTGTGATTTTGCATTTTATAATTAGCAGCAGACATTAAACATGACATCACCCAGTAATCCCGCATGCTGAACCCCAGCGTCTCAGGCATGCAATTATGGCATGATAACCACACCCCAGCAGGTCTTAACACTTAATTGGGAACAATGATAGATGTACATATAATTGTTCAGGGGATTGAAACAAACACTACATCAAAACACCTGTCTCAAAACACGTGCTGATTTTTAGACGCTCTACAGTGAAAGAACACTTTTTGAGAAAGGGTAGTTAAACCTCTGGGATTTCCTAGCCGCTCTAATACTCTTAAATGTGTTTAACTTTAAAACAGAAACTTCCATAGAAGTTCAAGTCACTCAACAGGGCTACTTCACCTCCCACTGGGGAATAAAAACCTTTTAATCGTGCCTAGAATATTCTGCAGAGATAGATATCTATCTATTCCATATATCTATTAAGGATTAATTAATCCAAAATAAGTAAAACTCTGTCTCATTGCTTATTACCAGTCCTTTGATTTCTCTCCAGTTAACAACTCATTTGCGCTGTTCCTATATGTCAACTTATTCAATTCTACGGGAAACAGAGATCAAATGTGAACCAAAATACAATTTAATCTAGCCATGAATGGCTAAACACAAGCAACAGAAACCCATTCAAGTTTTACAGACAGGCAAAACTT